TTTCTGTATATATATATGTATATATATATATTTTTTTTTTATTTTTGCAGTGTCCAATGTTATCTAATGTGATGGCGATGCATGGATTAACAAGTTACTATGCAAAATATCAGTGTCTGGGCAAAATGCTATGGTTCATGTCTAGTTGCTTTTTTTCTTCCTCTCTTTCGTCTTCCATTGTTGCATTTTATTAGTTTTTTTCTTCATTTTTTTCAAAAGTCTTTTTTTTTACTTTAATTTATTAATATTTTTTTATTTCTTTCATAAAAAAAATTAATTTGACTTTAATTTCAAAATTTTAAAAGATTTTTTCTGTACAAAAATTAAAAATGACTTTATCTAAATAGTTAAATAAGATTTAAGTTATGATGCTAACTACATTATTTAATTATGATCTTGAGATTCGTTATTTTATTGTAAACCCCAAAAGTATGTATGAAATTCCTATAAATTTATTAAGTAAATTTTGTCTAATTAAAAATTAAAATTATGAAAAATATTTAGATTTTTGCATTTTGAAAACTTGAAAATTGTATAATCGACAAATGGTACAAATTATAAAGTAAATATAGTATTTAATAATTTTTAATGTTTGATATATATTATTTTAATTATTAAATAATTTTTAAAATGATTAAAATTTTAAAATGCTATTAAAAATAAGAAAACCTTTTTTTATGCACAAGCCTCGCCTAGACTCACTTAACCTCGTAAAGTTTGAAACTTCTCATTCACGTCCAGTCACACTTTATGCTTTTTAGAACACTGCAAAAAATAGAGTAATTTTTTTTTAGTTGATAGGATGACTGTTGGTGGTGATAGTGCGATGATGATATAAAATTACACTATAATAACAATTACACAATAAGTTACAATTTCAAAAACCTACCCAATGTAACACGATTTAATATAAATTATCCTATATTGTAAGTTACCATCAGTAACTTATTAAGCCCATATTCGGTAAGGATTAAAATAAAATTTTTAGTAGATTTTGATAAAAGTTGATTAAATTTGCGATTCAAAAATTTTAGATCTTATAAAATACGTGATTAAAATTAATTTTTTACTTTAATTTAAATTTAAATTTTAGTTTTAATCCCTAAAAATCGGGGCTAAATATAGAATTTTTGTATAAAAGAAATATAGATATAAAGAAGTAGGAAAAAGTAGGATATAATACCCAATAACAAAAACAAACACATTAACCTATTTTTTTCGAAAATATTTTCAGGGCATCTTCAATGGAGACACCAAAATACAAAAATGCACCAAACTTTGGTGCAAAAGTGCTCCAATGTGGCACCAAATTATGCACCATTTTGATGTTTTGGTGCAAAAATGAAT